GTCGATGAATTGAGTATGGAATATACGTCGTTTGTCACACCAGATGGACAGTACGAGTTCCGCAAAGTACCTTTTGGTCTATGTAATTCACCTGCGGCATTTCAGAGATATATAAATACGATATTTCAAAATTTAATAAGAAGAAAGATTGTTTTGGTTTATATGGATGACTTGATCATCCCCGCTGATGATGAAGAAGATGGAGTTAGGAAGCTTAAAGAAGTGTTATTCGTAGCCGAGAATCACGGTCTATTAATAAAATGGGAAAAGTGCGCCTTCTTAAGAAAAAGCGTGGAGTTTTTAGGGCACTTAGTTGAACACGGCGAAATACGGCCTTCAGAAGAGAAGATCAGAGCAGTAAAAAAATTTCCAACTCCTAAAAATTTACACGGAGTTATGAGCTTTTTAGGACTCACAGGATTTTTTCGTAAGTTTATAAAAGGATACGCTTTGGTAGCTAAACCACTAACAGATCTCACAAAAAAATACGAATCGTTCGTATGGGGTGAAATACAAAACAATGCGTATGTCCTACTAAAGGAGAGTTTATGCTGTGATCCAGTTTTAAAGCTTTTCAATCCTACTCTTCCAACTCAACTTCACACCGACGCGAGTAAGGAAGGCTACGGAGCGGTATTATTACAAGAACATGGTAACAAAAACTACCACCCCGTATTTTACCTTAGTTACAAAACAAAAGCAGCAGAAAAAAATTATTCCAGCTACGATTTGGAAGTATTAGCAATTGTAATAGCGTTGAAAAAACTACGAATTTACTTATTGGGTATGTACTTTGAAATTTTTACTGACTGTAAAGCTTTCCAACAGACAATGGCTAAGAAAACCTTAAATAGTAGAGTGGCAAACTGGGCCATGCAACTGGAAGAGTTTTATTGCAAGGTGAGCCACCGATCAGGTAGCAGAATGCGACACGTTGATGCATTGAGTCATCCCGTCGTATTGCAGGTAGAGGATGGTATAGTGTTAGCTGTTAAAAAAGCACAAAATCTGGATGAATTCTGCCAAATGACACGCAAAATTTTGGAGAACGGGCCATATCAGAACTTTGAAATACGAAGCGAAATACTGTATAAATTTGTGGATGGAGCATATTTATTAGTAATGCCTAAGACAATGAGAAGAGAATTAATAACCAAAATTCATGAACAAGGACATTGGAATGCGGAAAAAGTAAAAACGGTAGTGGAGCAAGAATATTTCGTTCCGAACTTAAGGAAGCATGTTGAAGCGGTAACAGCAAATTGCATTAACTGCATTCTCTCAGCAAGAAAACACGGAAAAAGAGAGGGATTCCTTTCACCTATTGAAAAACCTGATGTCCCTTTATACACATTTCATCTAGACCATTTAGGACGACTTCCTTCAACTGCAAAAAATTACAAATATCTTTTCGTGGTAATAGACGCTTTCACTAAGTTTATATGGATATACCCTGTAAAATCCAGTTCAACAGAAGAAGTTCTTAAAAAATTGCAACAGCAAAGCGAGGTGTTTGGGAACCCTCATCAGTTCATAACCGATAGAGGCGCTGCTTTCACTGCGAATAGCTTTAAAACGTATTGTATAGAGCGAAATGTTCAGCATCATTTGATAACAATAGGTGTCCCCAGAGGAAATGGACAAGTAGAACGTGTGAATAAGGTAATAATAGATTTGCTAACCAAACTATCATTTGAAAATCATTTAAGGTGGTACACTTATGTTAGTCGTGTACAGATGGCGATAAACTCCACTAAGTCCAGAAGTACAAAAAGGACACCGTTTGAATTGCTTTTTGGTGTCTCTGTGTTCAACACCGAATGTCAAAATGTTCGACAATGTTTTGAAGAAGAGATATTAAACAACTTCGAGGAATATCGACATGAGTTGCGCCAGCAAGCCAAAGAAGAAATTTTAAAGGTTCAACTAGAAAACAAAAAACATTTTGACAAAAGACGTAAGGAAGCCGTTCGTTATCACGTTGGAGACCTAGTTGCTATACTTCGAACGCAGTTTGGAGCTGGACTTAAGATTTTTCCAAAGTACTTGGGCCGTTATGAAGTCACTAAAGAAAAGAAAAACGAACGTTATGAAGTGAAGAAGGTAGGTTCGCATGAGGGACCAAATTTAACGTCCACGGTCGCGGAACAGATGAAACCGTGGAGGGATTATGGTGAGGGTGGATCTGAGTCGTCCGAGACAGACGACGAGTCGGATGGACGAGTGCAGATAAGGCAGTGAAGCGAAAGAAAGAAGTAAGGGAGGAAAAAGAAATGACGGGAGAAGAAAAGTTTTTTTGGTTAAGACACACGCGTTTTTTTTTGAGAAGTTGAGAAGTTTTTTAAAAAGTTTTGATAAGTTTAATATATTTTGAAAATTTTGAACTTTTAAAGTTTAAAAAAGAAAGAAAAACACTAAATTTTACTTTATTATTAAAGAAGTTTATTTTTCATTGAATAAAAGTCTGAGACTCTGTAAGAGTATCGAAAAATATTGCTTTTTATTTTTTAAAGAAAATAACTACATGTATATAACGCATGTGTCAAATCGATTTTGCTATATAGCTCATGCTGCACATGCTGCAGTCTTTTACCAACATATGTCTGCGAAATATATTGAGAATTTGGTGGCCACGTGTGGTGGACAATGAAACGTTGTTGCAACTCACAAACCAAGAAAACATAAATATACAAATAAAACGACGAAAATACAACTAGCTCAGGCACACATTAAGGAAACCCTATGAAGAGGTCTGCCATGCAGCCCTGCAATGGAATCCACAAGACAATAGAAGATCCGGTAGGCCTCGCATCACATGGAAAAGAACAATCCGTCAGGAAACTAATAAATCATTTAACGAATTGAGACATTTAGCATTAAACAGAAGTACTTGGCGATTCTATGTAAATAGTCTATGTTCCTGATGAAATACGGCTTATATTATTATGATGGATATAAGCGTTTCAATCGTCTATTATGTGTGGTTTCGTCATTAGGTAGCTACGTCATTGTTGGGTTAGGATGGGAAAATATTCTGTCTGTGTGCTTTTTACTATTTTTTCGAATAACGTCTGCAACGAAAGGTATCTAGTACTAGTAGTTATACTAGAAGTTTATTTTCCACTGTTAGTTTTGATTTCGAGCAGAGTAGCCAGTACAATTGTCCAAAGCGACGTTTAATTTCATTGCTTTTAGCTTTAATATGGTCTTTCCAAGTTAATCTGCTATCTATAGTAATGCCAAGATAATTTGCCTTTGTGTGTGTGAAGACTTCGTCATTGTTAATTTTTATAGGTTTTAGGTCATATTTTTTATTCGTGTAGATAACATAAACTGTTTTGTTTGTATTTATTTGAACTCCCCATTTGTCGAACCATTCGAGCGTTGCGTTTAGGTAATTTTGCAAGTTGTCTGTGGATATATTAAAATTTTTATTAGCTGCAATTAGGACTGTATCGTCTGCAAAAGTTGCTATCAAACTTTGAGGATCAGAAGGTATCGGGACATCTGCTGTGTATAGCAAATAGAGCAATGGACCTAGTATGGTTCCTTGGGGCGCACCAGCTTTCATTTCTTTAAGTTCGGAGATTGAATCTTTATACTTCACATAAAAGTATCTATTTTGTAGATAGCTCTTAAGTATGAGGCAAAAGTTTGTTGGAAGAAGCTGGTATAGTTTATTTAGGAGATCTCCATGCCAAACACTGTCGCAAGCCTTTGCGACATCAAGATATACCGCCGAGGAAAATTGTTTTGTGTCGCTTGTTATTTTATTAACCACTCTGTGAACTTGTTGTATTATCGAATACTTTTTCCGAAAGCCGAATTGGTGATCAGGTATAAGTTTTTCTTTGAGGAGAATCGGTTCTAGTCTTGATCCAATTATTTTTTCAAACAATTTTGACATTTTTGTTTAAGTCATTATCTACAAGTGCTACAGGTTTCAACAGAAGTATCTGTCCCTGTGAAAAGTGCACAACAGTATGATCAACATCTTATAGCTATTTTCGAAATTCTGAAAAATTATCCATATGAAAGCTTTAACGTTAGAGGTGGTGTTCTGTATAAACCAGTTAAGGGATTAGAATTACTTGTAGTACTGAAAGCCATGGAGCAGGAAATTATCTGAGCTGCTCATGAAA